AATAGTGGCAAATTTTTTATTTGTTCAATTAGTAGTTATTTCTTAGCTTGATCTGTTCTAGGCATTGAACAGACATGGTGAGTATGTTTGAGTTACTGTTACATTGTTTCCATATTATAATTATATATATATGTGTGTGTGTGTGTGTGTGTGTGTGTGTGTGTGTGTGTGTGTGTGTTACTTATACTTAAGTATTTAAGAGAGGGTGATGTGATAAAAATGGATAATATTTACACTATAGGTGTTAATTTTTATAATGCTTAAATTAGTCCATTCCCTTGCAGGTTTTCTTTCTTATTGCTTTTTTTTTGTTTAGAGGCATGGTCTCTACACAGCACTGGCTATCCTGAAACTCACTATGTAGATCAGGCTGGTCTTAAACTCATAGAGATTTGCCTCTCTTTACCTTTGCAGTACTTTTAACATTTGCACATTATTAAAATAGAGTAGAAATGACTTCATGTTTAAATGTGGTGTGGTGTAGAAATGGTGAGTTTTTGCAATAATGTAGAAAAAGAAAGTGTTGCTTTCACAATGTACAAGGGTGTAAGTGAAAGCAAAATAATAATTTAGCTCACATTTAACCCAGCAGGAAGCTGAGTACAGATTGAGTAATTCTCCACAACATATCTCCTTCTATGTAAACTAATCTCATGGTTTATTCTTCATTAAATTGCCAGGATGCTATTTTCTATTGGCGAGAATATGTGCATCAGTGTGTGTTCTCCACTCCCCCTTGATTTTCTCAGTAAAATTCGATACGATGATACTGTTAGGATGTTGTTTTGTTTAAAAGAATAATTTAAAAGTATTAATTCTTGGTGTAAAGTGTGATGTTGCCTGAAAACAGTAGGAACCAGGCTTTGATTAATCAGGTTATTGAGTGTCATTAAACAGATACCAGAATGCTTAAAGGTAAGGTTGTAATTGTTCAGGTTCTGGAAAATTTTAAGTAAATACTGACAAATCAACCACATGGAGGTTTTAGAGAAGTTGAAGTTGGCCTTCTAACATCTTACAGAAGTGGTTCTCAACCTTCCTAACGCTGCTGTCCTTTAATACAGTTCCTCATGTTGTGATGACCCTCAAACATAACATTTTTTTGTTGCTATTTAGTAACTGTAATTTTGCTACTGTTTTGAATCATTATATAAATATCTGTGTTTCTCACTTGTCTTAGGAGACCTTGTGAAAGGGTCATTTGACTCCCAAAGGGGTCACTACCCACAGGGTGAAAACTGCTGGCTTACATTATTTAATTCCTAGATTTTTTCTTTAAGTGGTTCAAATTCAACACAAAACATGGACCCTACCCTTCCTTAGGAAGTAGACATGAAAACTATACTTAATATAAAAACAGCAAGCTCATGCATTATGCAGTGGAAGCAGAGTTTCTTGACTGTAATATATTTCTCAAAATAATCATGAAGTAACATATGGAAAAGCAGAGAAATGTGGGTACATCTGGAAAGCTTTTAAGGCATCTGGGAAGTACAACGCAGAATCACCAAAATTGTAAACAACTTCCATGTTGCCAGTTGCAGTGGTGATGTTGTCCAGTCCAGGAGCAGACAAACCTCTGCAAGATGGGAGCAGGCAGTGTCTCCTCATAGGAGCAATAGAATGCTGAAGTGTTGAAAGCCTGCACACTGAAATTGCCCCCAGACAGCAGGTAGTATCAAGTACTCTTTTCTCTAGGCAAATGTGTAGATATTTGGAAATGACAAAGAATCAGAGATGCCGCTATTACACATTAAAGACATTGCAGAGATCTCATAGTTCAATACTAGTTACTTAAAGGAGAAGGAAGGAGCTTGTTTGAAGGAATCAATGAAGGAAAATCATATGACTGTTGTTCATCAGGAATGAGTAAATACATTTTTAATTTATAAACCTTTTTTATTTTGAGTGTGTCTGTGTCCTAAACTATTTTGTTCAAGCTGACCTCAAACTTCTGAATTCAAGGGATCCTTTTTCCTCAGTCTCCTGAATATTTAGGACTGCAGATGTGTGCCAGAGCCCAGCTCTATTTCTAATTAAAAAATCTCATGCTTTCCCTTTCTGTATTCCATTCTTAACAACTTCTTACTAGGCTTAAAATTTTATGAGGTTTGAAATGTATCTGCATGACTTATGTCTACATTCTCAGTATTTGTATGGATTTCAACACTAAATATTTTTAAGTTTTGAGACTTATTTTTTTCTGTGTATGGGTGTTTTCTCTGCATGTATGTCTATATACCACAAGTGCAGAGGCCAGAAGAGGGAAGGCCTTAAATCCTCTGGAAGTGGAGTTAGAGTCAGTTATGAGCTACCAGGTGGGTTCTGGGAACTGAACCTGAGTCCTGGAAGAGCAGTTAGAGCTCTTCAGCACTGAACCATCTCTTTAACCCCACAACACCAAATATTCTTAATGATTCAACCTAATTTTATACCCTTCTCCTAAATTCTATTAACATGTTTTCAAGGCATAGTCTTTGACCATTTGTGTTTATTGACCACTTAGAATGAGTGACCTGGAGCCTATATTGCCTTTAGTGTGTTCTGTTGACAAATCCAGTCTTTTTTTTTTTTTTAGCTTATTCATATTCAGACTAACACTTTTTTGATGACAGTTGATAAAAATTATTCAGATGACACTGATAAAGATTACAAAAGAATTTATCACTTTTAATGTACTGAAGGGCAGCACAGGGAAATCCCATCAGTAGAGGAAAGAAGTTGTGAAAGCACCGAGACTTCTGTTTGCCTTTGTGATATATTTGTCTAAAAGAAGTAGCATGATTTGAACTAATGCTGTAGGTAGATATGCATATTGCATAGACTGGCAGTCTTTGCTAGACTAATGAAAATTGAGCTCCAAGAACAAAGTCTAGACTTTTGAAAATATGTTCACTATCATGTGTTTTAAAGCCTCACAGTACTTAAAAAGAGTTTTTAAAAATGAAATTGGTTAACGGTAGCAAATATAACTAACTATGTAAAGTGTTTCCACTGTGAAAGTTGAACTGCTTAAACCAGTCAACCAATATCTAATATCTGTATGACTAATGCATGATTCTTAAAATTGTGTACAGTGTACAAGAGTTATACAAAGTGGAATCTGAGTAAATGGATATTCATCTAACATAGTGCATTGATAAAGTTGCAAATCTCATGTCACCATCAGTATTTTAGGAACTATCCCTCATTTTGAATTCCAGTGTCTATTCAATACTACTATTTTCTGAGACAGCATGGTGGCATGTCCTTCTAATCCTAGCCCTGTCCATAATTATTTGAATTACCTTTTTGAGTTACCCACCTAAGTTGCATTTTCCCCTTATATTTCAACCAGAAAAACATACTTTAATAGCTATACAGTGCTGCTTTTCTTACTAAAAGATAGGGTATAGCCTTAAACTTGTAGTCCTTTGCCTTCCTAGTACTAGGATTACATGTACATGCCATCACACTGGCTCAGAAAATAGTTATTTTAACGTACAAATGTTACATTAAATGTACTGAGTTTGTTTTGTTTTGTTTCTGAGACAGGATCTCACTATTTGCCCTGGCTGTCCTGGAACTCTCTCTGTAGACCAGACTGGCTTTGAATTCACTGAGATCCATTTGCCTCTGCCTCTGCCTCCTGAGTGCTGGGATTTGAGGAATGCTTCAAATGCCCATCAGATTGTATTAGTGTTAAAGTATAGAGCAGAAGAGTGATTAAAGCAGTGGATTAAGACATAGGTAAGATTAATGTGGAGGTGGTTTGTAAGTAGAAGCTGTGGTGAGTATCCTGAGGAAAGCAGTTAGGACATTAGTAAAGACTGGATGTGAGGCACTAACAGGCCAGTTTTGGTAAGGCCAGTGGGGAGAGACTTGGGAAGTCCATTCTGATTTAGCTCCTGGTCCTGTAAGGCATAGCAGAAGGCAAATGGTAGGTTTAAACTTGGTCAAAAGGAGAAACTGCTTTGTAGCAAAAGTAAACTTTTCAGATTTTTATAGTTGTAAAATTCAGTATTTGAGATTCAATATCAGGAGACAGATAGCTAAGCTACATGGTTCCCTCCTCCTCTGCTTTTTATTGTTTTTCTTTTTCCCTTTCCTCCCTTACTCTCTCACTCTGTAAACCCCACCCCTGGAATTCATGGTGATGTTCCTGCTCCAGTCCCCCAAGTGCTGAGAAAACAAGTGTGAACTGCTGTGTGGTTTGCCATCAAGCTATTAAGGTGTCATGGAATCACCTGCTGCTCCACATTGTGAGCCTTTTTGGTGGCTAGGTAGGAGCACATATGTAAAGCTGATAAAGTGTACAGTTACCTACTGTTAGTCACGCTCTGTGATGGCTGTGTGTTGTATTTATTTATATATGTAAGTTTGATGTGGTTTTGAGCTTCATTAACTCACATTCTTTCATTTTTGTGACTTGTTCATAGCATGTGTAAAAGGTTATTTTCCTAGAAAGAGAAAGGCAAGGTCCAGATTTAATAATCCCATACCATGGAGACTATGCAAGAAGATTGAGAGTTTGAGGCCAGCCTTGACTATATAGCAGTGAGACTCGGAGAGGCATTAACTCTCCCTCCTTTTTAAAAAAAAAGCAGTGTTATTGGTCATAAAGATGGAATGTATATTTCACACTCTGCTTATTCTGTATTTTTCCTGAAATTTGTAAATACTGTGTGGGTTATTTACCAGGGCTTTCTAAAATATCTGAGTATCTGCTTTAATAACTGTGTGATAAAATGAAAACTGTACAAAATGTGTTTTCAGATGAGCAATTTTCTGAAGGAATAATGGTGCAGATGAGTAATCCAAGTATGAATAATTAAACACAGTGATTGAGTTTCTGTTGAATATAAATTTATAGACTTACTTTTTTTGTAAGTCAAGTTAAAAGAAATTGCCTCACTAAAATTTTGGAGGCCAGTGTTCAGGTCATATTATACCATAATTAATTTTTTTTACACAAAGTGACTTCATTTTTTGACATTAACATATATGCTTTTTTCATGTAGGAGAATATATAAAAAATTGGAGGCCAAGATATTTCCTTTTGAAGACAGACGGTTCATTCATAGGATATAAAGAAAAACCTCAAGATGTGGACTTACCTTATCCCCTCAACAACTTTTCAGTGGCAAGTAAGTTTATAAACTTAATTCACCTTGGGTTTACTTATATTCATGACTTTATGTGCCATACATGTTAATGTTTCTGAAAAACTAGTGCTGAAGTTTAGGTTTACATTTAATTGGAAAGAAATTGTCAACTGTGTAAGATTTTCAACTCCTTAAGATAGAGACTTATAATCTTTTGCAGTGCAATATAGTTTATTTTTCATATTTAGAGTTTGAATATGATAAGTATAACTGCCCATCTATGTACCTCATGTTTTTCTATATAAAATGTACTTAAGGACCCGTGAACTTGGTCATAAGATGTCACTTATTATTGTAGTACTGTTACTACATTCCTTCCAGAATTCTCTGTCACAATGTTTGGTTGGTTGATTGATTATATAAATGTTTTCTATTGGAAATCATTTTTCAGGGATGATATTCGTGATTGGGAGATGGAAAGAATGGGGGTACATGATGGAAACTCCCAGAGTCAATAAAGAAGTCATTAAAAAAAGAGCTGTATTTAGTAATTTCAAGGGTCTAAATGCTCCAACAATATAAAACTTGAAAGATGCTTAGGAAAAATAAAGCCTAAAAATACTTATTTCATACTAGTGTATCTAAAATTAAGTAGTAACACAAGTAAGTTGCAATTTTTAGAGATCTCTCATCTATATGATCTGGTAGAGGTGTGTGCATTAATGTTCTTCCTTGGTGAACAAGTAAACTGTTCAAACACAAACACAAAAATCATCTTTCTGAGATTTCCTATGAATATCTTAACAAAATGCTCAGTTTACTTAGAAGTGTTGAATTTGTTTATTTGAAAGACGACTGTGATAGTAACAGTGATTATTTTCATTCTTTTATGTTATGATCAAACTTTTAAGTGGTTTATACTTACCCAATAAAAAGATCTTGCTATGTTAATCTAGAATTAAAGCATTTTCAAGTTCAAAATGGAGTGTGTAATAACTAGGTATAGTCTATTCTGTTAAAATTTTCAATTAGGCAACCTTCTATATTTTGTCTTGACTGGATGTTATTTGTTACATATATTTGAAAAAGATAGACGGGAGAATTTAACTTTGTACACATAAGTAAATAACCCAAGAAAATCCTAGAAAGCATTTAAGTATTATAAAATTAATTTTACCATATAGCAACTTCGAACTTTATTTTCAGTTTTAAAAATAAACCTTAAAGAGAATAGAATTACGAATAATTGAATAATACTAACTTTATTTTATTTTTCTAAGTTTTTTATCTAAAAATATTTTATGTGGAACAGATTTTAATTATGCCCTTTACCCTTTTGGATTCATCTCCCAGATCGTCCCTGAGAACTAATTTTAAAACCCTCGACATTCATGTCAGTGAATTTTTGTGCAGAGATTTTTTTATTTTTTGAAATGATAGTGCCCTATCATTATATACATTATGCATGTACATATGTATATGTGCATGTATATGTGTGTATTAAGGAAAACAGCATTTTTTCCATCAAAACATGTTCATTTATAAATTGCTCTAGTAAGTAAAAAATTATTTTAAATCATTTTGACAATTGTAATAGTATCTTTTGAGTTTTTAAATTGCTTTAAGCTATGTATTTTCAGTCTAAAGGTATTTTGATTGAACATTTGCTTATTAAAATGGTAGAAATTATCTTTTAAAAAATTGTCATGTTCTGCCTAAATAGTTTGTCCATTGTACTAGCAATTCTATTGGTTTGTTTGAAATAATTTCTAAAAGTGTAGAAAAATCTCTATCTGCTGATCAAAATGCAGCATTTTTTGACCTTATGAAATTTCACACCCCAACAAGTTTTAAAGACATACTGTATGTCACAGTCTGCCAACATCTGCTCTAGCACTTCCCCTGGCAGAGGCTGAAATAATGTGTACTTGTGGAGAGAGCCTACTTAGTGACTGACAGCTTCTCCACAAAATAATAGCAGTTGACATCTGTAATTTCTACTCGCACAACAAAGTCCTTGTTGGGACTTGACTTTCACAGGTAAAGTTGTAGTTGAGCCGGGCGGTGGTGGCGCACGCCTTTAATACCAGCACTTGGGAGGCAGAGGCAGGCGGATCTCTGTGAGTTCGAGGCCTGTGTGGTCTACAAAGTGAGTTCCAGGACAGCCTCCAAAGCCACAGAGAAACCCTGTCTCGTAAAACCAAAAAAACAAACAAACAAAAAAAAAAAGTTGTAGTTGAACCCCCGATTTTCAGGGTTATTACCTTAGATCTTACCATGACTCCATTATTTAAATTTTCTTTATATGTAGAACTTTACTGTAACCTAAAATTATGTAAATAATTAAGGAAATAGTACCTCAATTGAAAGGAGATAAGTCAAAGAAATGGCCCAAATTTCAACTTTGGCACATGCTCTGAGTATGATTGGAAGCAGATCATTTTTAAAACCTCCAATTGTAACATTTCCTTCATCAGCATACTAGACTTCTGTTTGCTGCTTTGTAAGGTGGAGTTTGAGCAGATCCTTGAAGATTAAGTAAATGAAAAGCTAATTCAAACAAGGGAGGAGTTATTAAAGGCAGAGTGACAATGCTTTTATGAGGAATTAGCAAAAAGAATCTAAACACCCTATTTTCTGTGCCTTATAGTTAGTTCCTCACTTGCCTTGGCCCACATTGGAGTATTGTTCTCAAAGAGGTTGGAGAGATGCCTCAGCAGTTAATAGCACTTGTTGACTGTGGCTCACAGCCATCTGTAACTCTGGTTCCAGGGCTTCTGACACCCTGGGGGAACAAACATACACATGCACATAAATAAAAACAAAGTTTAAAAATTAAAAGAATTTGACTAGCCTTAATATTTCTTAGATATGTTAAGAAATGCTAAATATACTGTTGATAGCTACAGTGTGAGTCCCCTGTTTTTCCACTAATTAAAAATGTTCCTTTGTGGCCTGGCTTGGGATGTGTCAGTTGGTTTTATTCTTTCTGTGCTGATATAAGTCCCTGAGTTTGGCTGTCTATAACGATATTCGATGCTATATAGGGAAAACAATACATTTATTTACCAGAGAGAGAGAGAGAGAGAGAGAGAGAGTCGCGCAGGCCAGGAGTTAGAAGCGTGGCTGGCTTCCAGGAGAAAAAGGGAAGCCCCTTTTCCTTTCACTTCCTTTTATCTCTACCTTGACCCCGCCCTGTTGGGCGGATAGCTTTGTGGGGTTCACTCCTACAGCTGTCCAGTGATATAAAACAGGTGCAACCAAGCTTGCCTTTATACCAAGTTTCCAGTGGCAGAGAAAGGCTGCTTCATGGAGCTCATTGCTTGGCCTAATCTGTGCGTTCCAGGTTTAGTAGGAGACTACCTGAAATGTAGGATGGAGAGTAATTGAGCAAGGTAATTGACATCTGGCTTTCACACACATGTACACCACTGTTCATGTTTGTGGATACACACATAAGCATGTATACATATATATGGACTTCAGTACAGTTTCACAGAAATTGACTTTTTACTCATTTGAAAAAGTGATAATGTGAACTAGAAAGGTTTAAAGATTTTTCTAGTCTCGTATTTGACTTTCTTCCCTTTTTCATAACATTGTCCAGACTAGGAGTATAGCTTAGAGGTAGAGAACACGTTTAGCATATGTAAGATGCTGGATTTCATCCCCAGTATCTGGAAAAAACAGTTCTCAGAGTCCTTCTATTCTCACTGATTCAACTTCTTTTTTTTTTCTTTTTTCTTTTTTAAGATTGCTTTATTTTATGTTTAAGTGCTCTATCTGCATGTACACCTGCGCACCAGAAGAGGGCACCAGATCTCACTATAGATGGCTATGAGCCACCATGTGGTTGCTGGGACTTGAACTCAGGACCTCTAGAAGAACAGTCAGTGCTATTGACCACTGAACCATCTCTCCAGCCCCTGGTTCTACTTCTTAACTTCTGTAGTCTAACTTCTTCTCTTATCTATTTGGATTGAAACCACTTTTGATGATTTCTAATGTGCTGAAAAATAAATATTTTTTTTCTTTCTATGTTGGGTTCATGGCTAAGGTTCCTATAAACAAAGAACAGATAAACAAAAGAAAAACATACATATATATTTGTTTAGCATTGATTTTTGTATAAACTTTGGAAGCTAAGACTCAAAGAAGACTTTTGTGTTTTTGTGCTTTGGATCCCTCACTAAAGTTTCACTCTGTAGCCCTGACTGGCCTGGAACTTGTAGACTAGGCTGACTTCAGACTGAGAGATCTTCTTGCTTCAGCAATCCCAGTCATGGAATTCAAGGCATGTGGATTAATAAAGAGGCAGCTAATCACAGAGAAATATGACTGGGAATGTGGGTTCTGATAATGGCATTAGGCTGGGGAGAGCTGAGCAAGGCCTGTGTTGAGAACTTGAGAGATGAGGACATCTTTCCAGGAATAGGAAGGGCGCTTGTTAAAGGAGGAGCTGGGGTCTGCTGCAGAGGAGTCAGCAAGTCTTCACCAGATTGATGGCTTCTTCAGGGGAAATGGGCGCGAGAACATGGACAGGAGCCTTCATGCTTTACTCCTCCCCCCATACCAAGGTAATATATTTGCCTAAAAACCCCTCATTAAGCTTAAACTTTCAATTTTAATTTGTTTTCTGGGTTGGTATTGAGGCTGCATTTCATCTGCTGACCGAGATTTTGAGATGGTCTTTCCCTCTGTGCTGTGAGCTTTCTCTCTGTCCTTGTTTTTTCCTTTGCATAGTGCATTATTTGTGTATAGTATATAGTATAGTATAGTATATAGTATTTAAGAAACACCTGCTCAGGACTTCACACTTTGTGCATTACACCTGGATGGTCACATTGTTCCTGAATTTGTAGTTACAAACTGTCCATCTTATTCCCACATTTCATAGTTTCAGACCAGGCTGCTTTCCTGAGAACTATGTTGTCACATTAATTTCACTATAAGTTATTGCCACCATAGATGCGTTACAGTCCTTACTGCTCTAGGCTGTCCTCAGGACGGTTCCTATTTTCCCTAGATACTGTTTCAGAGTC